CCTTAAGCCAGCAAAAGGGTAACATGAGTTCTGCACATTGCCCAGTTGAGGTGAACATTTGAGCCAAGATTGAAGAAAATCTTTCAATTAGTGTAGGACTTACAGAGCGGACACGACATACTGTCTAATATTTGATTGTTTGATATTTGACCTTCAATTGTGACCTTGAGCTGACACATGGGCAACATGGGTTCTGTACATCCCCTTGTTGAGGTGAACATTTGAGCCAAGAAAATCCTTCAATTAGTATAAGATTTATAGAGCGGACACAATAATGGGAGACTAACAAACCAACCGACCGACGCGAAAAAGCGAATCCATTGTAGTCACCCCCCCCCCACATTTTGTGGTGGGGATATAATTATTAAAGGGCCATGACTCTGACAAAAATCATTGAACCAGAAAATGCTGATGAAATGCACAACTAGGAAAAAAAGAACCGGTTGATGCGGGTGATGCTCCCCGAGGAGGTTTTGGACACAGGAAAGTATAGTTTTTGGACACAGGAAAGTATAAAAAAATGAACAAAGGGCAATAACTACAAAATTAGGCAAGACAGAGTTATGGTTATTTAACAATGCAATTCCACTGAATGAGATCTATCTACCTACAAAGTTTCATGTTGATATCTCTTATACTTTTATAGTCATGTCCAGGACAAAGTTCAAAGTGTGAAAAAAAACCAAAGGGCAATAATTCAAAAATTAGGCACAGAAGAGTAACGGTTCTTGTGCACTGCAAACCTACTCAATGAGACCTACCTATCTGCAAAGTTTCATGTTGATGACTCTTATAGTTTTAGAGTTATGTCCTGGACAAAGTTCAAAGTGTAAAAAAAAACAAAGGGCAATAATTCAAGTATTAGGCAAGGCAGAGTTATGGTTCTTGTGCATTGCACACCTACTCAATAAGATCTATCTACCTACAAAGTTTCATGTAGATATCTCTTATACTTTTAGAGTCATGTCCCGAACAAAATTCAAAGTGTAAAAATAAACAAAGGGCAATAATTCAAAAATTAGGCAAGGCAGAGTTACGGTTCTTGTGCACTGCACACATACTCAATGAGATCTATTTACCTACAAAATTTCATATTGATACCTCTTATAGTTTTAGAGTTATGTCCCGGACAAAGGTAACATGGGTTCTGCACATTACCTTCTTGAGGTGAACATTTGAGTAAAGTTTGAAGAAAATTCTGTCATTCTTATAGTTTTAGAGTTATGTCCTGGACAAAGTTCAAAGTGTAAAAAAAACAAAGGGCAATAATTCAAGTATTAGGCAAGGCAGAGTTATGGTTCTTGTGCATTGCACACCTACTAAATAAGATCTATCTACCTACAAAGTTTCATGTTGATATCTCTTATACTTTTAGAGTCATGTCCCGAACAAAATTCAGTGTAAAAATAAACAAAGGGCAATAATTCAAAAATTAGGCAAGGCAGAGTTACGGTTCTTGTGCACTGTACACATACTCAATGAGATCTATTTACCTACAAAATTTCATGTTGATACCTCTTATAGTTTTAGAGTTATGTCCCGGACAATGCTCAAAGTGTAAAAATAACAAGAGGGCCATGATGGCCCTGAGGTCGCTCACCTGTATATAGGCCCCCCCAACGTTGCAGCGCCAATTTAACCCAAGGGCTTTTATTTGCACAAACTTGGAAGACACCCATAAGAAGATGTTTCATGCTAAACATCTAAGCTCTAGCTCATTGGGCTTTTTAAAAGAAGATTTTTTTAAAGTTTTTACTATACACATATAGTTAAAAACAATGACACCCCTGGGGCCGGGCCAGTTTTGACCCCAGGGCTTTTATTTGAACAAACTTTGTAGACACTTACTAGAAGATGTTTCATGCTTAATATCTAAACTCTAGCTATTTGGGTTTTTTCAAAGAAGATTTTAAGTTTTTGCTGAGGTCGCTCACCTGTATATAGGCCCCCCCAACCCCCCAACGTTGCAGGGCCAATTTAACCCAAGGGCTTTTATTTGCACAAACTTGGTAGACACCCATAAGAAGATGTTTCATGCTAAACATCTAAGCTCTAGCTCATTGGGCTTTTTAAAAGAAGATTTTTTTAAAGTTTTTACTATACACATATAGTTAAAAACAATGACACCCCTGGGGCCGGGCCAGTTTTGACCCCAGGGCTTTTATTTGAACAAACTTTGTAGACACTCACTAAAAGATGTTTCAAGCTTAATATCTTAACTCTAGCTATTTGGGTTTTTTCAAAGAAGATTTTTTAAGTTTTTGCTATACACATATAAGGAAAATCAATGACCCCCGGGGCGGTGCCAATTTTGACCCCAGGGCTTTTATTTGAACAAACTTGGTAGACACTTATAAGAACATGTTTCATGCTAAATATCTTAGCTCTAACTCTTTTGGTTCTTTAAAAGAAGATTTTTTAAGTTTTTACTATATGCATATAGGGAAAATCAATGACCCCCCGGGGCGGGGCCAATTTTGACCCCAGGGCTTTTATTTGAACAAACTTGGTAGACACTCACTAGAAGATGTTTCATGCCAAATATCTAAGCTCTAGCTCTTATGGTTTTTTAAAAGAAGATATTTAAAGTTTTTTCTTTCGGTTGCCATGGCAACCAGAGTTCTGCATGGAATTAAATTCTTTGAACAATTTTTAAAGGTGACCACCAAAGGAACATTCCTGTGAAGTTTGGATGAAATTGGCTTAGTGGTTTATGAGGAGATGTCATTTAAAGTAAAAGTTTACGGACGGACGGACGCCGGACGAAAAGCGATCACAAAAGCTCAAAAAAGGGCAACTATTTAAAAATTAGGCAAGGCAGAGTTTAGGTTCTTGTGCAATGCACACCTACTCAATGAGATCTATCTACCTACAAAGTTTCTTTTTGATACCTCTTATAGTTTTAGAGTTATGTCCCGGACAAAGTTCAAAGTGTAAAAATAAACAAAGGGCAATAATTAAAAAAAATAGGCAAGGCAGAGTTACTGTTCTTGTGCACTGCACACCTTCTTAATGAGATTTATTTACCTACAAAATTTCATGTTGATACCTCTTATAGTTTTAGAGTTATGTCCCGGACAAAGTTCAAAGTGTAACAATAAACAAAGGGCAATAATTCAAAAATTAGGCAAGGCAGAGTTAAGGTTCTTGTGCAAAGCACACCTACTCAATGAGATCTATCTACCTACAAAGTTTCATGTTTATACCTCTTGTTGTTTCAAAGTTATGTCCCAGACAAGAAAAGCGGGCGGATGGACGGGGACCCCCTGGAGCAAGACCAATTTTGGCCCCAGGGCTATAATTTGAACATGTTTCGTAGTGTTTCATTAGATGATACTACATAGAAACTAGAAGGGTTTTTGTCACAAAAACATGTCTCATAAAAAAATTGTATGGTCACTCATGTGAAGTTTCATTGAAATCCCACCAGTAGTTTGACCTCTGAAAGCCGGACAAGATTTTTTCTATTTTAAGCTCTGGCGGTCATTTTGTGCAGCAAGCAGAACATGCTGGCAAGATGCCCAACTAGGAATGGTACAGATCACTCCTGTAAAATTTGGTTGAAATCCAACAAGAAGTTTGACCTGTGAAGGTCGGACATATTTTTCAATTTTTATAGCTCTGGCAGCCATTTTATGCAGCGAAGCCCAACCTGGCGGCGACATGCACATGAATGGATGGTACTGATCACTCTTGTAAAGTTTCTTTGAAATCCCACCAGTAGTTTGACCTGTGAAGGCCGGAAGAGACTTTCTGTTTTTAGCACTGGTGGCCATTTTGTGCAGGGAAACAGAACATGCCGGTAATGTGCACAACAAGGGATGGTACATATCATTCCTGTAAAGTTTGGTTTAAATCCCATCAGTAGTTTGACCTGTGAAGGCTGGACAAGATTTTTCTATTTTTAGCTCTTTTGGCCATTTTGTGCAGAGAAGCGTAACCTGCTGGGAATGTGCAAAATTAAGGATGGTACTGATCACTTCTGTAAAGTCTGGTTGAAATCCCACCACCAGTTTGACCTGTGAAAGCCAGACAAGATTTTCCTATCTATAGCTCTGGGGGCCATTTTGTGCACGGAAGCGGAATATGGCAGTGACGTGCACAACTAGGGATGGTACTTATCACTCCTGTAAATTTTGGTTTAAATCCCACCATCAGTTTGATCTTGAAGGCCGGACAAACTTTTTCTATCTATAGCTCTGACGGCCATTTTGTGCAGCGAAGCGGAGCATGGCAGCGATGTGCACACCTAGGGTTGGTACTGATCACTCCTCCTGGTTGAAATCCCACCATCAGTTTAACCTGAGAAAGGCGGACAAAATTTTTCTTTTTTTAAGCTACGATGGCCATTTTGTACGACGAAGCGGAACGTGGCAGTGACGTGCACAACTAGGGATGGCACTGACCACTCCTGTAAAGTTTGGTTGAAATACCACCATCAGTTTGACCTGTGAAGGTCGGACAAGCTTAATGTGGTCGGACAGAATGGAAAAGGGGCCATTTCTTTTGTTATTTTCTTTTGTTTAATAGAGGGCCAATGGCCCCTTACTCGTAAAAAGTTTTTGAGAGACATAAGTATCTAAACTCTAGGCCATGCACTTTCAGAGGAGAAGATTTTGTTTTTCCTATAATGAAAATCAAAGACCCCCAAGGCCGGGCAAATTTTGACCCCAAGGCTATAATTTGAACAAATTTTCATGAGATGATGCTAACACAAAATATCTAAGCTCTAGGCCTTGCACTTTCAGAGAAGAAGAGTTTACATATTATATTTTACAAGTCATTTATGATCAGCACTTTCATAAATTGCCTTTGAACAAAAGTTTAATCTATGCAATGTCTTATGATTGTGAACAAAATAAATTGAGCAATTCTGATAATATTACTTTGAAATCCTTCGTAAAGAGATGCATGAAAAAAATTATCAATTTCTTAATCAACCTTAAAGTACATTTAATAAAGAAATCAATTTTGTAAACCAAAGACAAAGAAATAATTACCTGGCTTTTATGTATTGATATAGCCCATGCAAGCTTCAAAGGAACTTGCTTCCTGGTGAAGAAAACACCTCCTGCCAACTTGAATGTCCATCTCATTGGTTTAACTGTCACTTCTTGACCACAAAGAAACTTTACAATTGGTAAACCTATCAATGTTATGAGATTCAAAATGTTAAAAGAAGAAATCACATACCCACACGGCGGGCATACAAAGTCGTGAAAGATGAGTGTTGTATATATAGTGGTATTAAGTCTGCATTAGCATTTGAATGTGACATATGGAATCTTCTTGTTTCCAGTATGAAAGCAATGACCTCTATGTTTCTTTTATTTATTTGACTTAATTAAGTGTTATGTATTCTTTCTGACACTACCAGGTACCTGAGTAGAACAGCATGTAATCTTTCTGACACTACTAAGTACCTGAATAGAATATCATGTACTCTTTCTGACAGTACCAGGTACCGGATTAGAACATCATGCACTCTTTCTGACACTACCAGGTACCTGAGTAGAACAGCACGTACTCTTTCTGACACTACCAAGTACCTGAGTAGAACAGTATGTTTTCTTTCTGACATTACCAGGTACCTGAGTAGTACAGTATGTGTTCTTTCTGACACTACCAGGTACCTGAGTAGAACAGCATGTAATCTTTCTGACACTACCAGGTACCGTGGTAGAACAGCATGTAATCTTTCTGACACTACTAAGTACCTGAATAGAATATCATGTACTCTTTCTGACAGTACCAGGTACCTGAGTAGAACAGTATGTTTTCTTTCTGACACTACCAGGTACCTGAGTAGAACAGCATGTACTCTTTCTGACACTACCAAGTACCTGAGTAGAACAGCATGTTTTCTTTCTGACATTACCAGGTACCGGAATAGAACAGCATGTATTCTTTCTGACACTACCAAGTACCTGAGTAGAACAGTATGTTTTCTTTCTGACATTACCAGGTACCGGAATAGAACAGCATGTATTCTTTCTGACACTACCAAGTACCTGAGTAGAACAGCATGTTTTCTTTCTGACACTACCAGGTACCTGAGTAGAACAGCATGTATTCTTTCTGACACTACCAGGTACCTGAGTAGAACAGCATGTATTCTTTCTAACACTACCAGGTACATGAGTAGAACAGCATGTATTCTTTCTGACACTACCAGGTACCCGAGTAGAACAGCATGTATTCTTTCTAACACTACCAGGTACCTGAGTAGAACAGCATGTATTCTTTCTAACACTAACAGGTACCTGAGTAGAACAGCATGTTTTCTTTCTGACATGACCAGGTACCGGAATAGAACAGCATGTATTCTTTCTGACACTACCAAGTACCTGAGTAGAACAGTATGTTTTCTTTCTGACATTACCAGGTACCGGAATAGAACAGCATGTATTCTTTCTGACACTACCAAGTACCTGAGTAGAACAGCATGTTTTCTTTCTGACACTACCAGGTACCTGAGTAGAACAGCATGTATTCTTTCTGACACTATCAGGTACCCGAGTAGAACAGCATGCATTCTTTCTAACACTACCAGGTACATGAGTAGAACAGCATATATTCTTTCTGACACTACCAGGTACCCGAGTAGAACAGCATGTATTCTTTCTAACACTACCAGGAACCTGAGTAGAACAGCATGTATTCTTTCTAACACTAACAGGTACCTGAGTAGAACAGCATGTATTCTTTCTGACACTACCAGGTACCTGAGTAGAACAGCATGTATTCTTTCTAACACTACCAGGTAAAACATTTTCATAAACTAGCTGGATGGCATTTTTTACATTAAATAATCTAAAGTCTCTGGCAGAACTGGATCCAACAGCCGTGAGGAGGAAGTCATTTGAAGTCATTGACCTGGCCACTGAGGCCTCTTCCTGCATTTAAATCCTAACGTAATTTGTCAATAAACATATCTGACGGACCAAATATTAATAGATTTAGTAATTACATGTGTTAAATACATATACTTAAAGTATATAAAGCTATTTATATATGCTGACAATCATTTTCAAAATCATTTTTTAATTTTTTTGAAAAAGAATACAGTTGACTCCACTTAAAACGAACTTAAGGGGACACTTAAATATCTTTCGTTATATCCGAAGTTCGCTAAAAGTGAAGTAGCAACAACTTTCGTGAATTTGTTTGGGTGGGTAAATTTGCTGAGAAAAAGCCATACCTGTCACTGGTGTAATCGGTATTTTACGTCAGTGGTAATTTTATGCGAGGCATTTTATTGATCAATATATTATGTACATTTCAGTTTATAAGCATAATTTATACATGTATTTTAATCAAATAAAATGATGAACTACATTAACACATTCATTAAGGCACCATCTATAAAAGTGCAAAAGAAATCAGTTATTTTGGGTTGTTTTCTATTCTCATTTTAAGGTTCATAACCAAATTCCTCAAGCTCTGAGTGAAATCATCACTAGCGAAGCAATTGTAATGTAATACTTTGTGAGAATATTTTACCAAAATCTTTATTACCTGAAGCCATAACTTACCTATGCAATCACTCAATTGAATAATTATCAAATAGCAGTATTTATGTACTGACCTTTAATTTAGGGCATCCCAATCATTCAATTATAACAGATTGTTTAAAACTGAGAAAATTTACACATTTTTCGCTGTTCAGAACTTGAAAAAATGGTTCACTACAACCGATAATTCGTTTGACCACAGTACATATTATGCGATGTGATTTTATATAAAATAAAGAAGGAATCGGCTGGGAATTTCAGATTTAGTTCGCTATTAACAACTAGAAGGGTTTTTGTCACAAAAACATATGTCTCCCAAAACTATCAGAGCCAAAACACCATTTTTGGGGAAGGGGCCTCAGCCTTTTTCTTGGGGAAAATATGCGTAATTTTGGCATACTTTGGGAAAAGGTGTCTCAAATTTAACACAAACTTTTAACAAGTTCTTCAAAACAGAAAAGCAAAAAGGACTGGGAAATACTAATAAGGCAGTAAAAGACCTTAATTCAACAGTTACACCATCATTTAATTTTGTTCTAAATTCTATGGGAAATTTCAAAAGACTGGGGAATTTTGAGGACCAAACTGGGGAAAAAAAGAGGCTACTTTGGTTGGGGAAGCAGCCTATATTCGGTTTCTACAAAGAAGGGTTTTTTGGCCCTGACTATGTATGGTCATTCATGTGAAGTGTAATGTCTGCTATATCATAGTTACTGGACAAGCATGGGTAAAGAGATTAAACAACGCAGCCATCTGGTTTCTAAATCTATTTACTAATGATACTACAGAGAGGTGATGCCAGGTGAATTTAGGTGGGGCTTATCAGCTAGTGGCTAATACTAGCTGACCAATAGCGAGTCAATATATTACATGAAGTTTCATTGAAATCCCAACAGTAGCTTGACCTGTGAAAGCCGGTCAATATCTTTCTATTAATAGCTCTGATGGCCATTTTGTACAGTGAAGCAGAACATGGCAACAGCATGCAAAACCAGGGATAGTACAGATCACTCCTGTAAAGTTTGGTGGAAATCCAAACAGTAGTTTGACCTGTGAAAGCTAGACAAGATTTTTCTATTTTTAGCTCTGGTGGCAATTCTGTGCAGCGAAACAAAATGTGCTGGCGATGTGCACAACTTGGGATGGTATTGATCACTCCTGTGAAGTTTGGTTAAAATCCCATTAGCAGTTTTACCTGTGAAAGCAGGACAATATCTTTCTATTAATAGCTATGACGGCCATTTTGTGAAGTGAAGCGGAACATGCTGACAACATGAGAAACCAGGGATGGTACTGATTTCTCCTGTAAAGTTTGGTTTAAATCCCACCAGTAGTTTGACCTGTGAAAGCCGGACAAGATTCTTCTATTTTTAGCTCTGGCGGCGATTTTGTACAGCGAAGCGGAACGTGCCAATAACTACACAATTAGAGATGGTACTGATCACTCCTGTAAAGTTTGGTTGAAATCCCATCAGTAGTTTGACCTGTGAAGGCCGGACAAGATTTTTTTCTGTGTTTCACGAGCAGTTTGACCTGTGATGGCCAGGCAAGATTTTTCTATTGTTAGCTCTTGCAGCCATCTTGTGTAGTGAAGCAAATGTGCTGGTGATGTGCACAACAAGGGATGGTACTGATCACTCCTGTGAAGTTTGGTTGAAATCCCACCAGTTGTTTGACCTGTGGAGGCTGGACAAGATTTTTCAATTTTTAGCTCTGGCGGCCATTTTGTGCAGCGAAATGGAACATGCTGGAGTAATCCACAACTAGGGATAGTACTGATCACTCCTGTAAAGTTTGGTTGAAATCCCACCAGTAGTTTGACCTGTGAAGGCCGGACAAACTTAAACTTAATGCAGAAGGATGGACTGACTGACGGACGTTCCACTTAAATGGACTAAGGGGCCATTTCTTTTGTTATTTTCTTTTGTTTAATAGAGGGCCATGGCCGCTTATTCTATTGTTACGGAATGAACTCTATTGTTCTCTTTTGTTCTGTTTACAGTTACATTGCCCCTTACTTCTCTTAAAAAGCACGGACAGACGGCGAGGGCAAAAATAATATGTCTCCCAAAAATTTGGGAGACATAATTCTTTATAAGCGAGTTCATTATAAGTGGAGTTGACTGTACTTCCAAAATACCTGTATAAACGAAATATGTTTGTAAATTTCCAAATGAATGGCAAATGCATAAAACTATTGTTAAACAGTTAAAATCTACTTTAAATTGTATCATAAAAATTTGTTCCAGAATATTTTATTCTGTTCACATTAAATATTCATGAGTATTAAATAACAAGAGTCATTAAAACTCTTTATGAGAATCTACCATAAAATCAAGTGAATAGCATAATTTTACCTTTTATGAATTTTATCAAAACAAGAAATGTCGAACGACACATATGCCCCCCTTTCTATCACTTGACTCACATTATTGGTTATTTTGTTATAGAAACTTGCCATAAATGGGTACATGGAAGTGTTCAGTTATGGAAAAATAAAAATAATGACGACTTTGTGATTTTTCAAGATAATAAGTTAAACCATTCTGACATTTAAGACCCTTGTGACCTTAGCCTTTGAACTAGTGACAAAAAATCAAAAGGTGTCAACTAATACATGTAGTTATAACCAATCAATATTAGAAATATGAAGACTTTGTGATAAAAAGCTTTCAAGATAATAAGCATAAACCATACTACCACTCAAGGACCCTGTGACCATGACCTTTGACCTAGTGACCCCAAAATCAATAGGGGTCACTTACTATTTATGACCAATCAGTATGTCAAATATGAAGACTTTGTGATAAATAGTTTCCAAGATAATAAGCGGAAACCATTCTGACATTTAAGGTCCCTGTGACCTTGACCTTTGAACTAGTGACCCGAAAGCAATAGGGGTTATCTACTAGTTATGACCAATCACTATATAAAATATGAAGACTTTGTGATATATAGTTTTCAAGATAATCAGCAGAAACCATTCTGACATTTAAGGCCCTTGTGACCTTGACCATTGACCTAGTGACCCCAAAATCAATAGGGGTCATCTACTTGTTATGACCAATCAATATGTGAAATATGAAGACTGTAATAATCAGCTTTCAAGATAATGAGCTGAACTCATACTACCATTCAAGGACCCTGTGACCTTGACCATTGACCTGGTGACCCCAAAAACAATAGGGGTCATCTACTTGTTATGACCAATCAATATGTGAAATATGAAGACTTTGTTATCAATAGTAACCAAGATAATGAGCGGAAACCATTATGTCATTCAAGGCCCCTGTGAACTTGACCTTTGACCTCGTGACCCCAAAATCAAAACGGGTCATCAACTAGTTATGATCAATCAATATGTGAAATATCAAGACTTTGTTATCAATAGAAACTAAGATAATGTGCGGAAACCATTTTGACATTTAAGGCCCGTGTCCTTGACCTTTGACCTAGTGACAAAAATCAAAAGGGGCCATCTACTAGTTATGACCAATCACTATGTTAAATATGAAGACTTTGTGATATATAGTTTTCAAGATAATCAGCGGAAACCATGTGGTCTACCGACTAACAGACCCCAACAGACCGACCCACATTTGCTAAACAATAAACCCCCTCTTCTATGAAGGGGGGGGGCATAATAATTCAGTAGATAAAGCTTTACAACCTTTAATACAAAATATTCTGGAAATTTTCATCAATACAAAAGCTTCCAACAGGACATCTATTAATCTTCTAAAGACTTTTCCAGACTGGAATGAAACAAGGTACTGAAGAATTTAGTTTGACAAAGTCCAATTTACCAGAAAAACCTTAGTGCATGGTTATGTACTGTAATTGTATTTATAAACAAAATGCTTCCATATTTTAGACTCCTATGAATATTATCAGTTTACCTTCTCCTCCTTTTTCAAACCCCACAACTACACCTCTTGCACCATTCACTAACCCCTGAGATACATCTACATTCTTTGCTAGCATGACTTGGGCACCAGCTGTTAGTTCAAGCATGGCAGGCACAGGAGAGAGATAGTTGATCTGTTTCAGGTAGGCTGCATCACTGTCTGTTGCTTCATATTTCCTTGACTGTCCTGAATGAACATATGTAAGAGAGACTTTAGCACAAAAACACAAGCAAGATGATCTTGAAATATAATATGGGGACCATTGGTGTTTTCTACTGTTCAAGTCAAGAATCATCAGGACCATGTAATGTTTTCTTATACAACACTAGTACTGTAAGTTCAAGAACAATAATGGTTATCTACTAAACAATGTTTCATCCAAAATATCAAAGTTTTAGCTTTTTGACTTTCACAGAAAAAGATTTTTAAAAGTGATACTGTTTTATATACATGTATAAGACAAGATTGCATTTGTGAAACAAGAGGGTCATGATGGCCCTAATATTGCATACCTGAATATAACAAGAGGGCCATGATGGCCCTGAAGTCGCTCACCTGTATATAGGCCCCCCGGAGCGGAACCAGTTTAAACCCCAGGGCTTTTATTTGAACAAACTTGGTAGACACCCATTAGACGATGTTTCATGCTAAACATCTAAGGTCTAGCTGGTCAAGTTTTTTCTTTACACATATAGTTAAAAACAATGACACACCTGGGGCAGGGCCAGTTTTGACCCAAGGGCTTTTATCAAAGAAGATTTTTTAAGTTTTTGTTATACACATATAAGGAAAATGAATGACCCCCGGAGCGGGGCCAATTTTGACCCCAGGGCTTTTATTACAACAAACTTGGTAGACACTCACTAGAAGATGTTTCAAGCTTAGAATCTAAACTCTAGCTATTTGTTTTTTTCAAAGAAGATATTTTAAGTTTTTGCTATACACATCAAAAAATCAATGACCCCGTGGGGCAGGGCCAATTTAGACCCCAGGGCTCTTATTTGTACAAACTTGGTAGACATCCATTAGAACATGTTTCATGCTAAATATCTTAGCTCTAGCTCTTTGGGTTCTTTAAAAGTAGATTTTTTAAGTTTTTACTATATACATATAAGGAAAATCAATGACCCCCTGGGGCGGGGCCAATTTTGACCCCAGGGCTTTTTTTTAACAAACTTGGTAGACACCCATCAGAAGATGTTTCATGCTAAATATCTTAGCTCTAGGTCTTTGGGTTCTTTACAAGAAGATTTTTTAAGTTTTTACTATATGCATTTAGGGAAAATCAATGACCCCCTGGGGCGGGGCCAATTTTGACCCCAGGGCTTTTATTTGAACAAACTTGGTAGACACCCATTACAGGATGTTTCATGCTAAATATCTTAGCTATAGGTCTTTGGGTTCGTTTAAAGAAGATTTTTTAAGGTTTTACTATATGCATATAGGGAAAATCAATGACCCCCTGGGGCGGAGCCAATTTTGACCCCAAGGCTTTTATTTGAACAAACTTGGTAGACACTCACTCGAAGATGTTTCATGCCAAATATCTAAGCTCTAGCTCTTTGGATTTTTTAGAAGAAGATTTTTTAAGTTTTTACTATATGCATATAGGGAAAATCAATGACCCCCTGGGGCGGGCCAATTTTGACCCCAGGGCTTTTATTTGAACAAACTTGGTAGACACCCATTAGAAATGTTTCATGCTAAATATCTTAGCTCTATAGTCTTTGGGTTCGTTTAAAGAAGATTTTTTTAAGGTTTTACTATATGCATATGGGGAAAAATCAATGAACCCCCTGGGGCGGGGCCAATTTTGACCCAGGCTTTTAGTTTGAACAAACTTTGGTTAGACACTCACTAGAAGATGTTTTGCTATGGAAAATATCTAAGACCTCTAGCTCATAGAAGATGTTTCATGCCAATATTTGCATTTGGATTTTTAGAAGAAGATATTTAAAGTTTTTTCTTTTGGTTGCCATGGCAACCAGAGTTCTGCATGGAATTAAATTCTTTGAACAATTTTCAAACAGATGCCGGACGGCCGGACCCCGGACGAAAAGCGATCACAAAAGCTCACCCTGTCACTTTGTGACAGGTGAGCTAAAAACTCTACATGACAAGAAAAAAGTAGTATTGTTAAATATAAACAAAAGCAGATATAAAATCTACATCTTCAACTAATATCACAAAGTTCATATTTGTATCTTAAATAGTGCATGTGTAAAAAAATAACTGGTTGCTAATGCTAAGGGAAAATAACAGTTTGCAAAGATGTGTACACAAGGAAAATCAATAACCCTCGTGGGGAAGGGGGGGGGGGGCAATTTTGACCCTTGCAGGGCTTTTATTTGAACAAACCTGGTAGACACTCACTAGAAGATGTTTCATGCTAAATATCTCAGATCTTAGCTCTTTATTTTTTTAAAAGAAGATTTTAAATTTTTTTTATGGGTAATACATAAGACACAGTGTGGTGGCTTAAATTTTTTGACGGGCCAAGGCTTTTCATTTAAAAACTACGATTTTCCTCGAATTGGTGCTCAACTTTATTTTAAAAACTTAGGTAGAACTTCTTAAATATTGGGGTTTATTTATAAACACGGGACTCTATAATTTTGTACAGTGACTGACCCCCTTGAACCCCTTTAGTGGCCATTTGCAACTGATTGTAACAATGTTTACAAGTCAGATTGATGTAATTGAGTATAATACAAGGTTAGCTTTTAAATAAAAGCCTTAACATATCGGAAAAAATCCCCCTGGGGCGCTAATTTTTCCCAAAGGGTGTTGTTTAAATTGATTAGATTAAATTTTATGCGTTGGAAATTTAGGAGCTTTTAGTTGGTTTCAATTAATATCTCTAAAGGTTAAAAACCGGCCTACTTTCGCTTGGCTGACCGGATAATTAAAAAGTAAAAATTTAAACCAAAAGTAACGAGTATCGATTTTGCTTGTAACATGCTCTTCCTCTAATCCTAAATTGAAAGGTTTCCCCGTTTCCCCTTATAAGCTTTTGTTATTTAACAAGAAATCCCCGACAAAAGTTGAATTATGAAAATTTTAAAAATAAGCCGCGATAACTCTTAAACACTGTAGTGAAGCTGTACCATTTTCTGTCATCCACTAAACGTGCCTATATATTTAAAATATTATGATGCCCTATGGAAGTATTTCAAATATAAAGGGCTTTTATAGTTTAGGGAGAAATGGCCCGGACAAAAATAAAGTAAGAAAATTAACAAAGGGCAATAACTCAAAAATAAGAAGCGCAGAGTGCTGATTCTTGAGCATTGCACTTCCTTATAAATGAGATCTATCATCCTTAGAGTTTCAAGTCCACAGTTTTTATAGTTTAGGAGAAATGGCCTGGACAAAAATAAAGTATGAAAATTAACAAAGGGCAATAACTCAAAAATTAAGAAGCGCAGAGTAATGATTCTTGTGCACTGCACTTTAGGTCATTAAAAAAAGCATGCATACCAAGTTTTGGAGGCAATCAGACTGAGTTATGCCCGGACAAGCTTTAGGGGAACTCCTAGATGTCGCCTTTCAAGGGTGACACAAAAACTTGGTAGACAACACTAGAATAATTATGTTACATGCTTAATATCTAAGCTCTAGCTCCGGGTTTTTTTAACCCATTACTTCATGAGCATTTTGTGAAAAATGGCTGTTTTCATTGAAAAGTCTCCCGTTACAAGTTCAAATTGCTATAAAACTATAAAAACTGCTTCAATACTAATCAAACTTGGCACAAATGTTGACTGAATCATTGCCTTTGTGGCTTAAATTTCCTGTTACCATGGCAACGAGGGGACATTTCAAAATTGCCAAAAATCACTATTTTGCGTTGATTTTTTCCATCAAAAATGATTTTAAAGTGCTGCAACTTCTCAATGGATTGAGAATAGAGTCAAATGCTTTTCAGCGTAGCTTACACGTTACCTTATGATCGATCTGGGGTCATTTTTAGCCTCACACAAGTCCAAAATTTTCTTGACGATGAGGGGGGCTGCCGCCCCCCTTCGAACCCCCCTAACAGAAGGGGGCACATCCCCCTTCTGGCAACCCCCTGATGTATCTTTTGGATGGGGGGCCGAGCCGAAAAAATGGTCACTTTTTTAAAGAAAATTTCTCAAACAAAAAACAGTCTTTGGGGCCTAAATAGGGCAACAAAAAATGATAAAAATACCTGAAAGTACCCATAATCGCGTTTTCCATGTTTAAATATGGCCTTAAATATAAATTTGAAGAAAAATTGTTGTTTTGTAATTTTTTTTATTAAAAGAAGATTTTTTAGCTTTTACTATAATATACATATCTGGAAAACCAATAACCCCCTGGGGCGGGGCCAATTTTGACCCAAGGGCTTTTATTTGAACAAACTTGGTAGACACTCAATAGAAGATGTTTTTGGGTTTTATTAATTAAAAGAAGATTTTTAAAGTATTTTACTATATACATAAAAGAAAAAGAGATGTCAATGAAAATTGACTTATGCCCCCAAAAGGAAACTTGGACATAAAATCCGAAATATATTCCAAAATACGGGTAATATACCCCCAACAGCCTTTGATAAATATCATTCCTAAAATTTAATTGAAATTCCATTAGAAATGTAGGAGAAATAGTTTTAACAATTTTTACTAAAAAACAAGAACTATCGGAGGACAGTAAGGCTCGACTACTCGAAAAAGTTGTCACAAGGGTGTTTTATTGAGTATAATAATGCTTACCTATGAATACATAAAATTGACCGAAAAGGTAAAAAGGCTTGTTATTAAAATGTTTTATCAAGTAATCACTGCTTTATTATTATGAATGCATAAAAAAGAATGCAAAAAAGGCACAAACCCTTCATTAGTTATGGAGATAACAGCTTACAAGCAAAACTTTACCATGAATTTCTAAGTTGAAAAAGGGGAGAAAAATCAGCCTTAATGCAAGATAGAATTATGGATATAGGTCAGTGACCTACAATTAGGACCCTAAATGCATATGTGAAGTTTTAAATAAATATATTTAATAGTTATTGAGATATGTAAAACTTGCATGTAAACAGTAGGCCATCCATAAAAAATTGTTTGTTTGTAGTGCTCCGACCGACCCATGAAAATGGCCCAACTCTAAAATTTTTAACATCTTCCAGGATTTTTTTTTTTTTTTTGAGATCATGATGCACCCAT